GTCCAAATAATTAAATTAATTATTTTAAATGTTATTATTTTTATAATAATTTAATAATATTAAGGTATTATTCTAATTTTTTTATCTTTTATGTTTAATCACTAATTTAGAATTAATTTCTTACAGTATTTACTATTATAATAGTTATTGGTGTTATAATTCCCACTTTTCGCACGTTCAAATTGAGTGCCATTAAAAAATCAGCTCCTCATTGGAACGTCACGTTGGCGGGGGTATCAACGGGTTCACTTTTGCAATTCACGTTGAGAGATGTGGTCATAGAAAATAGAAATCCTTCAACCTGATGATGAGCTAAAGGGCTTGAAATCCAGATTGTTGCGAAATAACTTACTGTGAGTAGGAACCATCTTTTTAACAAGGATATAACTCACTTGTATATTTAATCTGTTTAAGTTATTAAAACTATTTAATTTATTATATCTATATGCATAAAATAATATGTTATGACTGACTAACTGATTCAATCCCTGATATGTAGCGATTTCATACTTATGGTGGTTTATACGAGTTACTAGCAGCCAGGCAAATATTTTTCAGAATTCTCAAGGTCTATCGCAATAGTGAGAGTTGTATGAGAAATTTGGTATAGAAGGGAACTATGGGGTCATAGTTTTAATTCTATGCATCTCATGGACTTTTTTGACTTGAAAAAAGTCTATTTAGAAGTATGGAGGAAAGGCGTCCCAATTAATGCTAACCACATTTACAGATGGTTCCAAAACTGAATATGGGTCAGGAGATGATATTTCCAGAAATAAACCAAGGAATAGAATGCCAATGTCTTTCAAGTGGAGACTGTGGCTATTGAACATTATGCCAAGGAGATCAAAAGCCATCTACTCAGACAGCCAAGCGGTACTGAGGGCAATTACCGCATCAGTGGTAAAGACCAGTCATTTGGGATTGCATTAGAGCCCTGTCAGACATTGGGGAAAACAATAAAACTTCCCTTGCCTGAATACCAGGGCACACAGTGAAAAGGGGAAACAAAGAGGCTGATAAATTGGCCAAATAAAGTTCAATGTGGATATCTATTAGCCCTGAACCCTTTTGTGGCATACCAAACTGCCAAAACAATATCAAACAATGGATTAAAAATTAATACTCCTTCAATGGGAATGCAGCCCAGGACAATGCCATGTGAAAAAGTTCAGCAAAGGAACATGGCAGAACTTCTAAATCTAAGACAAGTTAGGGCTAAAATAATAGTAGCACTGTTGACAGGACACTGCAGACACCAGAAACAAATGTATAGACTTGGAGTGACAGAAACAAGCCTGTGCGGATATTGCCAGGATAAGAAAAGACAGAGAAGGCTTATGTAGGCTGATTCCTATTTCTGGGCCTAAAGGATACACACGGGAGTCCTTGTAAAGTTCGGAGATCTGGTAAAAAAACCCTTAAGCTTAATGAAGAGCTCTAGACAACAATGAAGATGCAAAATAGAACAATACTGGTCAGAGTGTGCTAGTTGTAAAGAGGCTGGCTCCTACTCTAATCAATTTAGAAGTTCTTTGGGTTCAGGGTCATTTAGATTTGAAACCAATACAGTTTTATGTTTACCTCATTGGTCAAGTACATCCATTTCTTAATCTGACAACTCTCTGGTAAAAACCGAGCTCCAAGAATCTATTTTTAAAACAAAAAAATTAAGCAAAACGATTAAACTTACATCTTGTGTGACTGAATGCAAAAGGCCACTGTATGGTACATTGGCATTAAATCTTTCTATCATTTCACTCATGCCTTTCTTTCCAATCGAATCTTTTAATAACCTTAAGTGGACCGTCTCTACCTAAAATTACAATAAATAAATAAANAAATGTTATAATGACATAAAATAATAAATACTGAATTATCTTGTTCAGAAATTAAAGTTTGCTTACTTCTTCTTCCATGTCTGTATGGTATGGTCCCCATCGCTTTCCACGGCAAGTACACTTCATTTTCACATGAATATCTTTATTCCCTATACCACGGGCTCCTTCGAGTATAGTAGCCAATATTGAATCTCTAAAATATTCAAAATCAAAATCTCTTTATGGACATATAAATAACTAGTTACCATAAATTGTAGGAATTGTTTTCAAGATTTGCAAAAAGGAGTACTTTAGGCATATTTCTTATTTTTCATTCCGTTATTACGTTGTTCAGTCAGAACACATTTATCCATGTTTTATTTATTTTTATTAATTTTCTTAGCATGTTAACTGTATTGTACTCCGAACATAAGCAAGTGGTCACCTTTATTTCATTTGTTAAATGATTTGTTTATGTCAAGGTCTTGTAGTTTTAGCTTAGAGTTATTGATTTGTGGATACAAAATCATAGTTATTAAAAGGCTGATATCAATTATATTGAGTTAGGGTTTGGATAGGATGGGAACGGGTTAGGTTAGGTCAGGTAGGGTTAGGGCAGGTAGAGATAGATATAAAAAAATTAGGGATGATAAAGCCAATTTGAAAGAAAAAAAACCACTCAGTTCCATCATCAAGCTTTTGAGGAATATACTCCCTCAATCAGAACTTTGAACCTATTAATCCTTCACAAGATTAAGAAATATGAACAACTACTTACAATGTGTGGTGTTTAGTGACCGTTAGTCAATGATTATTTGGAGATCGTGAGATGTGGTCTGGTGTGACGTAGGTTTTAGAAAAACATTTTCTTTATGACGCCAACGTTTCGATCTTTATTGAGATCATCTTCAGGGCCTGGGATTTATAAACATTGTTTAAATTATACAAATATATGTCAATGTGAAAAAATGAATTTATAAATGCTAGAACTTTTAGACTCAATCAAAGTGTTTTCATCACGATACACAATAATGACATATCTACACAGAAAACAAACATTTTGATTGAGTCTAAAAGTTCTAGCATTATATAAATTCATTTTTTCACATCCTACATGTATTTGTATAATTTAAACAATGTTTATAAATCTCAGGCCCTAAAGATGATCTCAATAAAGATCGAAACGTTGGCACGATAAAGAAAACGTTTTTTATGTCACACCAGGCCGCATCTCACGATCTCCAAATAATCACTACTTACAATATTGAAGCTTACAATTAAATAAATTGTAAATAACCGAATGGATAGAGGAATGAGGTAACATACCTGATTTGTTGATACAAAATTATAGCTATTTTTAAAAGGCTAATATCAATTATGAGTTAGGGTTAGGTTAGGTTGAGGACGAGTTAGGTCAGGTCAGGTTGAGTTATGATTAGGGATGGGTTGGGTTAGGGACAGGTTGGGTTAGGTTAGGGTTACACCAGGTAGTGTTATGGTTAAGGATGGTTGGGTAAGGTATTTAGATTAAAGGAATACTATTTTTAGTCTATTTAACACATTCTGTGTCCTGGTATTTTAATTTTCTCCTTCCCATACAGTAAAATTTCCTATTCCTAGAAAGGTTACACTTCATGACCTGCATGCAAGTCATTTTTTTGGCAGGTTGGGCCAGTTTCGCCTTCATTAGGTCACCAATACTGAATGTGTTAAGATGAGTTGGAATTAACTAATTACAAAATGGGAATAACTGTTCTTTAACTCAAACTTCAATCATAGTGATAATAGAATAAGTTAATGCTACTTTTTATTTGTATTAAACTTGCCAGAATATATTATTGTATGCGTATTTACATTGTTTAATACTTTTAAAAAGATAGTTCCTACTCACAGTAAGGTCCTCATTGGAACTTGTGTTGGCAGGGGTATCAGGGTTCACTTTTGCAGTTCATGTTGAGAGATTTGGTTGTGCAACTCCTTCAACCTGATGATAAGCCATAAGCTCTAAATCCGGATTTTTCTTACTGTGAGTAGGAACTATCTTTTTAAAAGGATTGAACACCGCACTCACTCCGCCATTCATCATTTCTATTTACATCGTTTATGTACAAAAGTTTTTATAGGAATTAAGCAAACAAATTAATGGAGTAAAAGTTTTTATGTTATTAGTCATATTAACCAGATATAACCTAAAATGATACATCAAAAAGAAAAAGCTCACCTATTAGCTCCACTATACGTTCTCGATGACATATCTGTATATTCCACAGTAAAAAGTCTAGGGTTTTTGTACTCTCGAATTAAAGCGAAAATAGATGTCAGCGGTCTAAGTGTAACAATATTGTACGTTTCTGGGTCTCTTTCCAAGATACAAGTTTGGGTTATACAGAGTAACCTTTGTTGAGGATCTTGATGACTCCTACTGGTATATTTTTCAACGTTGAATTCAGTCAATGATGTGCAATATTCATCACCACTAAAATTAAAGAAATGATCAAGATCATCAATACAAAACTACTCTTCTAATTATTTTATAAACAATTGTGCTCACCTAAAGTTGCCAAACCTATTTTCTATAAAATAGTCAATTTGCTCTGCTTTAACCTGTATTTTTATATCAATTCCAAGATAATAAGAAGAATTTTCTTCTATTTTTTTTTTAATTTCAACTTTTTTTTGACATACAAAAAGATGCTAAAAATGTACAAAATTAAGTTTATTTTCCAATCAGAACATTAAATTTACAGAAATTCTTACCATTCGGCCAAAATTTTTCATAACAACAACAAATGTATCCGCCACTTTAGAGAGTTCATATATACTTTCAATATCTTTGAACTCATATTTTGCTAAAAGATGGTTAGTAGCAGCATCCAACTGATCAAGAGAGGTTGGTGTAACATCAAGTACAATTGGTAATCGAGTTCCTGACCAATGCAATTTTTGAGCTTCATACTTCTATATAAAATAAAAGAAAATAATTAAAACAAGCTTTGTCAATATTAAATAATACCATTATTACCTGACTATCACTAGGTTTTTCACTAAACCTAAATCTAAATTGGGAAGACACTGAAAGAACTTCTGCACGATGTTCCGTGGAAAAACACATAGTGTCAACTTTTTTATTTTTGTCTTTTCTGAATGTTATAATAAATTTCCCAGGCTTTTCAAATACTCTTTTCACAGATAATATATCACAGTATAACCAACGATTGGTAACTTCTAAAGTTTCCGGATTGTATGTTGTGATTCCTTGTGTTCCAAACGAAAACACTCGTTTGTATCTGCTTAAAATCAAGAGAAAAGGATGCGTTATGTACAAAATTAACTGTAAATGAGACTGATGTCATTAAAAAAAAATACAATTTACTAATAATTTATTTTTTTATCACTGCATCAATCATAATGAGGTACACAGAAGAGCTAATTATTAGGTTTTTAAATAGAATGTTTACAGTTTAGCTTATTTTTCTAAGCCTAGAATTTGAACTCAGGGTTACTAATTAATATCCGCCACTGCAGTCCACATTTGTGGAATATCACAAACAATTGAATAAATAACACATTTAATTGAGTTATATATGTTTTAACATACATGTGTATTTAACTTAAACTTTAATTACCTTACTTTCCATGTTGAGTGTTTGTTAACTAAATAACAAAAAATATCTTGATTGTGGGGTAGAGGCATCATCTTTGCACCTGAAATAAGTATAGTAATTAGAATCAGTACAAGCAATCATAATAATTTTGTTCTATTAAAATCAAATAAAACATCCAATCAATATTTCAGTTTTCAAGTTCTCTCTGATGGCTCTCCTATACAGCTTCAGTTTCAAAAATGGATTGCTTCCTCTCCAAACTGTTTTATTACCACGGTTGTCTACTCTGATGTACTGTCAAAATAAGGCAGAGAATCAAAACAAACTTGTAAAAGCATATCCTCATCTAGTATATAAGTTACAAGTTTGATGAGCTATTCATACAGAAAGACTGACATAAAATAAACTTTGATCTGATTAATGGATGAAAGGGGAACTGGCCAGAGGAGGATCTGCAAGACAAACTATAATTCAGAATCCATAATTGGGATAAGATCAGAGACTTTTTCATCTCAGAAAGGGTCAACTCCAGAGGTGCCAAACATAGTAAACGCAGGGGTTGTAGGGCTAATAGGTCACTATATGAGAAAACACCTAAACACATGGGCATATTCAACGATGACCTCATTTGTAGGTGATGCAATGATGAGGAAGAACCTACCTCCCATATTATCTTTGAATTTGAATGAGAAGCAACCGTGAAGATCCAGGAAAAAGAATTGCAGGAATGACACCTATTTCTTAAAAGAAGGACCGATTCAACTGAACTGAACTAAGGAACTAGGAAAAGTATGTTGAGCCAAAAGGCTGCTGTGCGTAGGGAATACCAAACCAACTATGAAAATCTGAGCAAACAAAACTGAGGTTTAAACCCAGATTATAAACAACATTTTTTTAACTTTTAAATTCAAAATCACGACATGATGTGAGAAGTCTTAAATAGTAATTTGGTCATTACAGATCATTTTCGTCTGTCTATCCTCACTGAGTTGAAGTTAGTGAAAAACCAAAACGCGTCTGACAGATGATGAAAGACAGACCAAAATGACCAAGTTGAAGATAGTAAAATACTTAAGGTAACTGTTATGATTTAGATTTCAAATTAAGTTATTTTCTTGACCCTGTTGTTTACTTTTAGTGTTCTGTAAATAATGGTATAACTGAGTTTCATTTACTGATAAGTTAAGTAAATATAAGAGTTATATTTAGTAATGAATCAAATTTTGAAATACGTATTTGCAGACAAGAGGCCAAACAAATGAATAATACATTTTTCATATCACTCTTAATTAAAATGTTATGCCAGGATTCAAACCCAGACCCACTAGCATGGCAAATACATGGATGCCCTAACCACTCGGTCGCTGTGACATTTTCTAAATATGTATCTCCTATTAGGCCTTTTACATTTGTTTTACAATTATTCATTATTTATTTACAATTTCACCACATAAATTGATGTTGTTTTAACTTAAATATTTTTAATTCCAATATACTTCATTATACATATTTTAAATGGTTCATCCATTTTATTTTCTTGAAACTTTTTTTTAATCCCTTGTGAGTTGCATAAAACTATTTGTAAAAGTTCAAATTTTATTTTAAATGAATTTCTTCATCGTTGTATGACTAAATTAATAATAAGAGCCAGATTAGCTGATAAGTATTTCTCATTATAGCATAATATCAAATCTCAACTCCCACAAAACTGTATTTTATATATATATATATTTATTTATTTATAAAATATACTTTTTTTTTTCGAGGGTTCGGAACAGCAGAGTTATATCAACCCTCGGTGTGCCGGTGTTTTTGAAAAAAAAACCCATTTGTAATATGATTTGATCTTGACGCCACAAGTCAATGGACAGCAATGTTTCAGGGAATGGTAATTAATATATGAAGTTAATAATCAAAGATGATATACCTCTTACAGCAAAATATAAAGTGTTTGATTCCGTATCACGAGCAATTTTATGCTATGCAGCACAGATCTGGGGCTATCAAGAATATGAAGAAGTTGAAAGTGTCCAGAGAAACTTTATTACAAAATTGTTCTGCATGCCCAAGAGTTGCCCAGATTATGTACTTTATCTCGAAACTAACAGATTGCCTTTGTTCATTTTTACTGTTTCCCTGGATATTTCCTATATTCAAAGAGCCCTTTAATGTTCAAGTCAAAGTCTTAAGAATTAATTAAATTAATAGAAGAGATAATGACGAAAAAAATATTTTGGTATGATTCGTTAGTTAACAAATGTATAAAAATGAGATATGACATCATAAAATTATATCAACAAAAAAATAGCATATATGTAAATAACTTTCTAGAAGATTTAAATCTAGAGTTCAGACTGGGTCTCATTTGGGGAGAGAGCGCATGCGTTTTCATTCATTATACAAAGTTATCAACACCGACTTAGGGGAAAACACGTATTTAAAAGACAGTTCTCAAAGGTGGTTCATGGCTATAATAATGAAAACTAGGAGTGAAATGTTAAATTTAAATTGTTCATACACTAGAAGCGAGGAGAGGCTTAAGTGTCTGCAATATGTTAGCAGATGAAACTGTCTTCCATTTTGTATGTATCTGCCCAATTCTGTGGAATTACAGAAAAACTTTTTTTACATGCATTCGAATTAAATTGGAATACATTTCTCGAATATTTAAATGGACGAAATTGGCATGCTATACAGTTATGTAGGGGTTCAAAGACCAACCCCGCTTCCAAGTAGCGAACCCCGGGAAACGTTCGTCGCCGGCCTGATGGGGGGATTCATATTGATCCTCCATGGCATGGCACGGTGCGAAAAGGCTAAAGGGGCTCTGGTGTCCTACTCCTAAAGTGAGGTATTCGCTTTCCCAACCACTCCTCACTAAGCAAAATCCAACCACCAAACCCTCTCCTCCTATTAGAAAACAGCATCTGCCCCAATCAAAGGTGTCATGCGTTCCGTGCCGAGTGATTCACTGGCAGCTGGGGTTAAGTGGCTGTCTTGAACGGAGCCTCTCTGACACCGGGCGACATCAGAGAGTACTTAGCCTTACTCCATCATGCAGGGCTCTGATGGAGTGGATCTTTTAGTTCCCTAGCTACTCGTGGGAATCATATGAGTATAGAAAACAATAAACCAAACCTGAAGCAGGATCTCACTGCTTCAAAAAAACCAAGCAATTTGGAGACTATCCCCCAGATGGACGTTCAGTCCATGGAAGCAAAGGAGAGACCACCTCTCCCAACAAAAGACAAACAACAGTCGCTACGTGGGAAACCTATCACCACACAAACGAGGGGCCCAACACCTTCAGGTAGCGACACAAGAAAATACAGACCCCCCCTCTTGGGAAACCAAAAGGGAAGAAAAAAGTCTCCGCCGAACTACTGAAATTAGGAGAAAAAGGCAGGAAAGATGACCCTCACAGGAAAGGTCTTAGTGGTGCTATGACCAAATGGTACATGTGAGCGATAAGATCAGGGAAAACACCCGAGGAAGCAAGGAAGATGACTGATGAAAGAAAGGCCAAGATCCAAAAGGAGAAACTGTAAATACATTCATCCAGCAAGAGGGCAAGAGAACAATCTCTAACCTCCAAAGAATTAAGGGAAGAAAAGAAGGCAAAGCCATCCACACCTCAAGCGTTAGCTACACTGGAGCAGCAAAGGATGGCTTGTGGGTTATAAGGGTGGCTGTGCTACCAGAGGAATACCCACTGGTAACACTAACCACGGAAGAGCTAACCCATCAAGACGAAACCCTCATTGAAGAGAAGCCAAAATACAGTTCGAAGGCATACATTTCAGGCCAGGCATAATGGTCTTGGACTGTCAAGATGGCAAAACTGTACAATGGCTACAGGAGATAACCCCTAAATTGGAGCTGAACAAAGAAAAGAACCTGGCAGTGAAAGCGGAGGGGCCTGGATTTGTCATGATCCTAGGCATAGATGAAATCTTGGCAGAGATGATAATTCAAAGAGGACAAACCCTCAATTATCGTTTCGGGAGATCCTGGTAAGGGGCCTGAAAAAGGGAGGGGAGGAGGATACAAAACGGGAGAAATCCCACACCTCCACACCAACCCAACCCCATCAATTCGAATGGAGCAGGCCCGTACAGCGATGCTTCCATCCAAGGAAACTACCTCCAAAAACACTGCCAAGATGAAAGTTGATCAGGTCATCCTGGGAACCCAGACCCCTCCTCCTCCCCCAAAAGACTAACCCTACACGAAGAAAATGAGAATAGCCCAGGTGAACATCCATCATGCTAAAGCTGCCTCGGCAATAATAGCTAGGATGTTGACTGTGCAACATCTATGGGCGATTCTCATCCACCAACCCTGGCAATGGAAAGGACAAATTAGAGGTTTGTCCTGCAAAGACGATAAGGCTGTATGGGATTCCAGACCTTGCATGTATATTAATTAGGAAAAACACTAAGTACCTCTGTCTTTCAGAATCCATGACTAGAGATTTAGTTCCCATCAAGGTGAAGATAACAATCGACAGGAAGAAACTGGAAGCAGTGGTAGCATCGGCGTACTTCCCAGGAGATGAAGACCACCCTCCCCCCGAAGAGCTATTGCGGCAAGAAAAACCTCCCTTTGCTGGTGAAGTACTTAATATAAGATCAACCCCTACCTTTGTAACCAAAGTGAGACGAGATGTATTGGATACTACCATTTGCAGCCAAGCCCTACATAAAGTAATAAAAAATTGGAGGGTTTCAGGTGAAGAGTCAATATTGGACCACAAAATAAAGGTTTGGCGTCGAATCAGATAGGACAGACTCTACACCATTCAGGAACCCCCGAAACACAGACTGGGCAAGGTTCACTGAGATGGTAAGACACAGTCTAACAGTGAGGAGAATACCAAAAACCTGCAATGAATTGGAACTTGCAGTTACGGAATTCACAGAGAATATAATTGATGCGTATGAATCAAGCTGCCCTGTGAAGGTCCCAAAAAGTAGGCAACAACCACCTTGGTGGAACGCAGAACTGGGCGAACTAAGGAAAGAAACCAAGAAAGCATTTAACAAAGCTGGAATAGCAAGTAACTGGGGAAAATACAAAAGGTTACTTACTTCGTACAACCATGCCATCCGCAGGGCGAAAAGAGAAGATTTTCACAAATTCTGCGGAGAAATCTCCACAGTATCTACAGCAGCTAGATTGCCCAGGGAACTAGCAAAGGACAGAACGTAGAAGGTAACTACACAGAAGATACGAAACAAAAAGCAATGCGCCTTCTAAATACACATTTTCCAGACAGCACCTATGACATCCCCATAGAAAATGTGAGAGTAGATAATCGCAAGAAAGAAAAGTGGAAGAAAGCAGCTGAAATAGTCACAGAGAAGAAGATCCTCTGGGTGATTAACACATTAAGCCCATAAAAAGCACCAGGAATGGATGGGATTTTTCCAATCCTGCTACAAAAAGGAATGGATACAATCACTCCAACATTGATGCGATTATATAGAAGCAGCTTAGCATTAGGTTATATACCACAGACATGGCGTAGGGCAAAGGTAGTGTTCATACAGAAAGTGGGAAAAAAGAGACCCTACAATGCCTAAATCCAACAGACCAATCAGCTTAACGTCCTTTCTACTAAAAACCCTTGAACAGCTGATAGACAACCATATAAGAACGACAGCACTGGTAGACATACCTCTCCATCACTGTCAGCATGCATACAGAGCAGGAACATCAACAGAAACTGCACTGTACCAGTTAACCAATGACCTAAAGGAAACAATAGAAACAAAGGAAATAGCAATCTGCACATTCCTCGATATTGAGGGATCCTTCGACATTGCATCTCATGCATCAATGAAGGTCTCCCTAGGGAAAAAGCACGTAGACCAAACCCCATCCAGATGGATTGGAGAAATGCTAAGAACTAGAATAGCTGAAACACTATAGAAGTTAGCACAACCAAGGGATGTCCTCAAGGAGGGGTACTGTCACCTCTTCTATGGAGCCTAACAGTTGATGAACTGCTCAAGACCCTGTATTGTACAGGGATAAAATGTCAGAGATATACGGACGACATCGTCCTGACTACCAGGGGAAACTTCGAGGACTGTGATATAATCCAAGAGGGACTAAAAATCACAGAAGAATGGTGTAAAACGCTGACTTTGGAACAATATATACTAATAAAACAACTATAGTCGCTTTTACACGGAAAAGGAAAATAGATCACATGAGGCAAATAACCCCGCGATAAAAATAAAAAAGAAGTCAAATATGGGCATCAAACTAGAAAAAACACTAACATTTAAGAAACACATTGGCTCTGCCATCATGAAGGCAATGCAAGCTTTGATGAGTGCAGAAGAATAGCAGGAAGGAATGAAGACCGGTAACCCTGCTATGGATGTACACCATGATAGTAAGACCTATACTTACATATGGAGCTATAGCCTGGGCTGACAAAGCAGAAAAGTAACTAAAAGGAAAGAACTCACAAAAATACAGAGACTTGCATAACGGGAGCAATGAGAACATGTCCTACAATTAGCATGGAAAAAGTACTGGGATTTGTCCCCCTACACCACATGGTAATAAGGACAGCGCTGAAAACCATCATTAATTTTACCAAAGAGAAACCTCCAACAAGAATAAAACTAAGATGGAGAGAAAGCAAGAAACAATGAAAAGACCATCCAATACTCATGGTTCCGAGAGTCGACATGAACAAGATGTTTGAATTTAATCAATAAACCTAGGTACAAAAAAGGAATGGGAACGAGAGGGAAATACCTCTTTTTAAAAATGGCACCATCGTTTGGTACACAGATACATAGAACACAAGAAGGTACAGGGGCAGGAGTATTTGGACCTGGAACCAAATACTCAAAACCCATGGGAAAATACACCAGTATCTTCCAAGCTGAGATTCATGCAATCGAAATACGTACCCAACTCAACCTAAGTAAAGGGTACAAAAACAAGAATATAGCTATCATGTCAGATAGCCAAGCAGCCATCAAAGCACTAAGCTCAAATATCATTAGTTCAAAGATGGTGCTGAACTGCAAAACCAAACTAAACATATTAGGTACACAGAACAGTCAGCCTCTGCTGGGTCCCAGGATATATGGGAGTAGAAGGCATTGAGAAAGCGGACACCCTTGCAAGGCAAGGAGCTGCTACACTGCTGACAGGACCTACACCCTTCTGTGGCATAGGAATCCACACTATTAACGAGTATCTCAGGCAGGACAAAACAAAAACGAAGGAACTATGGAATTCACTGACTGGACACAGACAATCCAAGAATCTTCTAACCAATTTTGGAAGAAAAGAAATTACAGAATGTGTCAAGGGAAGCAGGAACAAACTGCCAATCCTAATAGGATTCCTAACAGGACACTGCAAGTTAAATGGACACTTAAAGAAGATTGGAATAATCCAAAATGGCACAGGCAGATTCTGCAAAGAGGCATTGTTATTTTTTCTGTAGGCGATTTAATATAGGATTCTATGCCTCTTGTATATATTATATACATACTATGCGTGCCAACTTCCGCAGACTGATGATATCTCAAATGTGTATATGCTTTTTGTACAGTTCATATCAGAGAATGCCGTTTAAGGGAGTAGTACTTAACTTTCATGTTTTCTGCTCTCTAGGCTATTAAATTCTGTATACTACGTGTGTGTGATTAGTGACTGTTAATCGATATTTATTTAGAAATCGTGAGATGCTGTCTGGTGTGATGTAGGTTTCAGAAGAAATACTTTTTAAAGATCGAAACATTGGCACGATAAAGAAAATGTTTTTCTGAAACCTACATCACACCAGTCTGTATACTACCTTTTTAAAATTGACAGCCTAACACGACTCAGTGTTTAGCGTAAAATTGACACCTAACCACCATAAATTTCAACTGTAATTTGAAAAGATATGGTACTGGTAATTAATTATATTATTTTTGGATCTTGTTACGTATCAGTTATTTTAATGCTTCCTTCTATTAAATAATGCAATCTCAGACATACATATGGGACAGTATGATGTCACTAAGTTTTTTTTATCATACAAAATTTTTTTAATTTTAATATACATAACCTCATGGGTCGCCTCTTTGAATTGTTTTGTTTATTTTGATCTTTAATATACTTACTGCGTTTAACAAAAATTTCCTCAAACCACATCACTGTTTTGTTGTAACGAAATGGTATGAATAAACACTAAATCTATTGATCGTTTTTTTTTTTTAATATAGGGTTGGCGAACGTATCTGCTTTCTATTTATGTAAATACAATGAATCGCTCTCTCGAGATAACAGGCCGATTTCATATAAATCCTATAAGGAGGAAACGGGCTGAAGGAATACATAGAACCAGATTATTTACCTGCAGAAAAAAAATCAGCGGCTCGAATTCCTGATGATGTAGGGAAAAAAGGTGATGTCAGGCGAAAATCGGATTCTAATTGAGACTATGCACAAATTATACGCCGATGCCATTCGGGGAGAGCAATCACTTTTATCAGAAGCCATCCTTATCAATACTAGATTTCATTCTATGTCGACATAAATTAATATTTACCTCGTATTTATAAAACATTATAAACAAAAGATATATCAGAAAAGCGCCGGGGATCTCTCTACAAGCGATGGGTCACATGTTTCTCCACGTATTCTCCAGCAATTCGACTTAGTTGAACTGACAGGTGAGAAAACAAATATGAAAAGATGGAAAGTGAATTTCTCTCCAAAACAAAGCCTGCGTTCTCATTGAATAACTGGGAAGTGGGAGGATGACTTTACATCGATACCGTTTAAAACGTTTCTTCGACACAGGATGTCGATCTTGTATCGAAAAGCTGCACCATTGAATCGAATTTCCAGCTGAGGTGAATTTCTAGTCCTTTAGCAGTTTAACCATATAGTTTTGAGAAAACTGAAAAGTTTGGTTGCACTGTATGCAGAAATATATGTATCAATCGCTGGCATTATAAAATTTTGTACTATATCCAACGTGGCTATGTTAACTTTCATCTAGTGATGACACAATAGTCCTAAAACACAACTCACTACGATTCCTCAATTTACAACACAACAAATACTGGAAACGTATATTAGGCATAATTCAAGCAAAAAGACTAGTCGTCAAAACACCCAATGGGAGAAAGTGTAATTCCTAGACCATTAAAAGATGAGCAATGACCTCTAGAGGAGATAGAGATAATAGATAGATAGATAGATATAATATTTCAGGGTATGGTATACTACGTCATTTAAGAGCTATTGTATCCCCTGTGCTCTGCCTAAAGCACATCGGTGAGTCCTATTTCATCAAGAAACTTGATTAATAGGCCCGGTTTCAGCGGTTGTAGTTCTTCTATGGTCACATTATACATCCCAAAACACTTCCTCCTGCGGGCTAGTGTAGCTCCGCAGTTTGTTAGTAAGTGTGTTGGTGTCTCTTCTGCTTCTTTGCAGAATCTACATGTGCCATCTTGGATTATTCCAATTTTCTTTAGATGTCCATTTAATCTACAGTGTCCTGTCAGGAATCCTGTTAGGATTCGCAGTCTATTCCTGCTTCCTTTGACACATTCTGTGATTTCTTTCTTGCCAAAATTGGTTAGAAGATTCTTGGATTGTCTATGTCCAATAAGTGAATTCCAAAGTTCGCTCATTTTCTTTTTGTCCTTCTGTCTGAGGTATTCGTTAATAGTGTGTATTCCTATTCCACAGAAGGGTTCGGGTCCTATTAGCGGTGTGGCAGCCCCTTTTCTTGCAAGGGTGTCCGCTTTCTCGTTGCCTTCTACTCCCATGTGTCCTGGGACCCAGCAGAGGCTGACTTTATTCTGCGAACCTAATATATGTAATTTGGTTTTGCAGTTCAGCACCATCCTTGAACTAATGGTATTTGAGCTTAGTGCTTTGATGGCTGCTTGGCTATCTGACATGATAGCTATATTCTTGTTTTTGTATCCTCTATGTAGATTGAATTGGATCTTTCAATTGCGTGAATTTCAGCTTGGAAGATACTGGTGTGCTTTCTCATGGGTTCTGAGTATTTGGTTCCGGGTCCGAACACTCCTGCCCCCGTGCCTTCCTGTGTTTTAGATCCATCTGTGTACCAAAGGATGGTGCCATTTTTGAGGGAGTTATTAGATAGAGACAATATAGCATATCCTATGCAACTGTCCTGTAAGCTATGATACCTCGAAAAACCATTCTTGAGCAATGAATTCTATATATACTTTATTAAACAAAAAAAATCTTAAAAGAGGACAGTTATTAACTCAAAACTGGTATATTTACGTGCACATGGAATGCAATGGAACTCTCAGCAGATGCCAATGTCTACTGTATCGGAGAAGGCATTAACAGAGCATGTCCTTCGCAAATGCCCTGGAATAACTAATGGTACACACTACACAGGACAGCCATTCTTGAACCACGAAGGCGTCGATACCATACCCTTGAAAATTGTATATCTTATTAAAGAAACGGCAATCTTCCAGGAAAATCAGTAGTACTGGTCGGACACAGTAAATGAATGTTGTGCAACAGAGCATTCCAAAAGGGGGAAAAAGACATTATCATACAGTGTTTTTTCTTTTTTGGCTGTTTATTTTATTTTATTTAGGATTCGTATTTTATTGAACTTCACAGCGTTTTTTTACATTATTTATTTCACGTTTGGATGTGTAGTTCTTTTCTAGTTCCCCTGAGCTCCTCCTCTTTCAATTTGGCAGGTTTTTTTTTATATTTTCAGATTTTTAGGGAAAGGATAAATAAAACTGCTTGGCTTCCAAATTTCAAAGATTTTTGCAAAAAATATTTTAAATGTGTTGCAAAAACAGGACAAAAATAAATCTGCGATGAAATTCGAGCTATCTATTGAAATACGACATTATTTTGTGACTGAGTGACGTAGCAAAGTTGATTAAAATCTTCTTATTAGTAAATTAGAAAAAATTAATCAAGAAACAAAGTTGGTAGTTTTTTTCATAATGGGAGAAAGAGGAAATACTCAAAAATTAAAAAACCCTAACAGGTATATTTACGTGACATGCTTCAGTAGAAGACAACATAAAACAAGTCATCCGCACTTGGACTTGGAATACTTGAGAAACTGAGACAGATTATTAATGAATAATACAAATAATTGAGGTCCAAATACAGTGCTTTGCGGAACTGCGGAGGTATTTAATCGAAAGAATAATGTACTGCCTGCCACTACTCACTGTGATCGTCTAATAAGAAAGGATGATAAGAAAGAAAAAAGAGTATTAAATAATTAATGAAATTATATATAATACTACACGAAACTCGTGTATATATAATTAAATAAAATAACCAAAGGGAGATAAATTATAATTAATACAACATAGCCTGTATATAAGCTGAATGCTGGTAAGATCAAATCTGCGCACGTACAGACTTGATCCTGTCACTTCTCGCAATCCACCGGCAATTCCAGCTTTTGTAATTTATAAATTACCGGCAGCCCTCGAGAATCATCCACCCAGGCTGTTGGCAGTCTGGGGTCAGACTCGGTCTCATCTATCCAGCCACCGAGGTTGGGCTCTTAGTGCTTTCAACAACTAATTGATTTAAGCACCAAATAATAATTTCCTAAATCAAAATGCATTCAAAACTCATTATTAAAAACATTCTTTCTTATTTACATACCATTCACTAAATTAAAGCCGGGAACACACTTACCCGACGCCTTGCCACGGTTTGATAGGGTGTGCACATCTGCCCGATTGTTAAATTTGATGACAAAACCGTTTAATAAATTGTTAGTTAAATTCATTATATCAGAAAATGTTTTTCCGGTGTTTTGATCAATTTTCTACCAAACCATTAGCATTATTTTTTTAAAATAAAAACTAATGAATTTTTGATCTCGGTATGTTATAATTAATATAACGACAATACACGCTACAATACAGATACTCGCTTCAGTGCTCAAGCACGATTCTCATATCGGGTGGCATTCCCATCGGGTGGGATACATGCTGTCTGTGTGAAGTCAAGGAGTTACACCCTTTAATTAGGTGGGACACAGCAATCTTTCTCTACATGCCGGACACATACGCGGGCATTGGTCCAAAAGTAAATGTCCGTGTGTCAACCTCGCATGGCTTATCCTTAATCGGGTGAGGACGATCTTTCTCTACATGCCGGACACATACGCGGGCATTGGTCCAAAAGTAAACGTCCGTTTGTCAACCTCGCATGGCTTATCCTTAATCGGGTGAGGACGATCCTTCTTCTATGAGTTAGGCTCTCCGAGGGCCACCTGTCGATAGTGCTCTTGATACGTGAGCTCTTCTCACACCGACGCTGCCATTTTCTTTCAATCACGTTTTTTTTAAGTCCGGAGCAGCCTCCCCACCGCCTACACCTTTTCGTTACCCTTCAGACCTATGTGTTTAGGTATCTACGAGATTTTTTTCAAGAAGCTCTCCAGTTCAAGGTATGCCTCCAACAAGAGTACGGACGACCTTAGTAGCGATAGTGTCCGGCATGTAGAGAAAGATTGCTCTATGTGTCCCACCTATACGACGAACATAGTAGTCGTAGTACATTAAGCTAATGGAATCGTAAGTCAATGTTCGGTTCTAAGTAATTTATATAACAATAACTAGGATTTGGAAAATTTTACTTATTACAATTAAATAATTAAACGACTGTTGTGTAATGCATTTTAGTCGAATTTACACTCAAAATGTTTTTTACAATTTTATCAAAATGTGTACACTCTATCAGATCGTCATTAAATAGAAAAAATGAACGATAATATTGTTATCGCTGTCTAATAATGGATAGAATTTTAACTCCTCATGTTATGGATTTTGAAATAAAGAAGAAATACTTTGTTTGTTTTTTCAAAATCAAAATTGTTTATTTCATCAGTTATACAAGACGGTTGATCAATCGGCGAACATATTCAATAAAGAAAACATTCCTATCAATCTAGGACCCCTTCTCCAAACAGCCCATGGTTCGGGATGTTCTCCTTTCCCCCAATGCTTTAAAATCCAGAAATGTGAAATTCTTTGGGGAGAGAAAATATTTGGGAAAATGAAAATGTAAACATTGCCGCAAAGCGTGCCATCGCAAGGCTTGCCGGGCGGAAAAACAGGAAGAACTGATGAAGAGGTCTTGACTTGTCTGAAAATAGAGCTCTATAGGCTCACTCATGGATATAAAATGGCTGAAGAATCACATCCTCGTTATGAAATCTATACGGAATTTATCACAGTAAAGCAAGTAACCAAAGAGTGTGTTAAATATGACCAGGCTAGAACACAGCAACATTGCGTGGCCAGTCAATTGTCTATGATTTTTGGGGATAATTGCTCGAATCTGCCTTTTTACGAGCAGTTAAATTATTGCTCAAAATCTAGATTACTCTAGCCAGCTGGGTATGGGGTGGATTGAGCTTGTTGTGGTCGGCGCTTGTGTCTCGGTGCGGCGGACCCATTTGAGGCCTCGGGATAACTGCGGGGGCCACAGATTTAGAGGGTGTGGATGTTGGCAGTGGCATGCACACCCCTCAGATGATCTGCGAATTAAAAATTCGTTAATTTTTGGAGTAAAGTGGAGTGCCCAGGGGTGCTTGCGTCGTCTCCTTGTCCATTCCCAGAGCTACTCAGTCACCCGGTCGTAAAGTTTATGAGATTGGCGTAATATAACTTGTGGAGGTTGATCACATTTTTATGACGTAGAAAAGTTTTGGAAGGGACTTCACAGATTCACGACGATGAAGGAGACTGTTTTCCATCAGTTTTGATACAGAGTTGAAAATGTAAGCACATATTGTACCAGTTTTTTTCAAGGATGGAAAGATTTAAAGAGAGATAAAGTTAACAGCTATACAATTGTATTAAAAAATAAATAAGTGAAATAAAATAAAACGCTTCAGCTGGATATTTTTGTAAATGTTTGCCTTTTTGTAAATTCAGAACGTTCATCAGCACTAATTGAACTAAGTTTCATTCGATTCGGATAAATTGTCAGTGGGCTAAAATTTTACATAGACCCCACTTATCTGAGGTGTACGCCTCTCCTATTAAATGGAGGATCTAAAAGGGACATCTGTACAATGTTCCGCGACAAACGACACATCTTTTATTAAACTCTTTTCATTGGAAATATAGTTAGATTTCAATTTTGTTTCCAATTTGGTTTGCAAATTTCTCTTTTGTAATCGTAATTGGTGAATATAGCATCGGAAATGGAGGAAGATACACCTCCAGCAAACCAAACCACCCGATAAAAATAGTATTTGCTAAAACCGAAAATGGTGCAAGAAATATCTTGTAATTTCGCTGACTGAAAATGAAAGGAAAAAGTTATTTAATTACTTCAGCCACTTAAAGGTATGTAGAGTGAACAAAAGTTACGCGCCAAGCATAGATGATAAGTTTTTGTGAAAAAGCACGATTCTCTTGGTTGTAAATGGTGAAAAGGGTTTAATAAACATCCAAAACCTTAAAACGTTTGAAACCATTCCAATATCATTCAATCTCCACCGGTCCCTTCCTTTATAGGTCTCTCGTACTCATTTGCACCAATAAGGATCCGGCGGGTATTTTATGCAGTCAACATTTTCAGTATTATTCGGATATCGTGAGATGCGGCCTGGTGTGACGTAGGTTTTAGAAAAACATTTTCTTTATCATGCCAACGTTTCGATCTTTATTGAGATCATCTTCAGGGCTCAAAGTGAGGAAAAATATTTCTAAATCAAAATTAACGAAACCCACAGAATAATGCCTTCAAATTTTGAGTGGGCGCAAGGGAAAACAATAGAAAATAAAATATCTTGGGCACAATTCTTGTTAATCGAAAAATTTATTAAAGAAAAATTTTGAAGAAATGATGTTAAAAATGAGCACCTCACCAACTATATCGAGACATAGACGTCTGGCGGAACGTGACTGAATGGAGTCCAAAATTCCAAATGGCAGAAGAAGATCTTTGAACTGAAGATCCTAGTTCGGCGAAGGAAGACGAAGAATTCCTCCCAAACGTGCAAGCTTGGTGTGTCTAGACAAGCCAGAAGAGAAAAACGAGCCGACAGAAGTGATTGTCCTCGTAAATACCTCCCGGAAAAAGTCAGGCTTCCTTTGTCCTTTTTCTTCGACTTCCTTCTTTCTTTGATCTAGTATATGCCGACAATAGGGAATTTTAAAACATGTCCCTTTGGGTTTTAGCTCGTGATACGTTATGAAACAGCGAAAGTGGCTATGGCGCAGATTACGTGGATGCTGCCGCCGGAAATGGAACATTCATCGGTCTATAAACAAAGCAAAATTTGTGAAATTTGTCTTAAGGGAAAAATGACTAGGAAATCATTTAACCATTTAGAAAATGAAAGGAAGCCTAGGCGAATTTTGTAAGTTGTGAGTTCAGATGTAGCAGGTCCTTTTACACTCTTAACTTATGATGGCTACAAATACTATGCAACTTTTATCAAACATTATTCACATTTTACATAAGTTTACCTACTAAAGAGAAAATCAGAGTTATTTTAGGGAATATCATGCCGAAGTCTCCGCATGTTTTCATAAAAAATATTGTATTTTCGTTGTGATAAGGGAAGAGAATATGTCTCAAACTCATTTATTCAGTACTGTAAGGAACATAGTATCACATTAGGATACAACATACCACATAATCCAGAACAAAATGTAATTTGCGAACGCATGAATCGCACAATACTAGATATGGCCAGATGCATTGCGTGTGCCAGATGCGTTTAAATAAGGAATTATGGAGAGAAGCACAAACATCAATATATATAATTAACAGACTTTGTACAAAAGCAAATGGGAAGATACCAGCTGAAGTTTGGTTCAATAGGCCAGTCAACCTAGAAAAAATGAGAGTATTTGGAAGTCGGGCTTTTGCACTTGGGTATATACCCAAGGAGGATCGAGATGGAAAATTATTAGAAAGGTATAAACAGCTTATTGGATACAGCAAATGGTTATTGATTATGGGATCCTGATGAGCGCAAAGTAATTACTGCTTGTTCCACCACTAAAGTTAGGCTTCAGGGGCTGTCAACATGTAGGTCATTTCATCCCCCAACGACCTAGACACATTCTCACTTATTCTTAAATACAACCTTTTCATTTACTTCTATTATGTTATTTATTTATATACCATTCACTCAATGGTGGTAGAGTACTCATTATCTAGTACTACAGTATAGATCTAGTACTTACAGTAAAGACAACTGTGTATTTAATTATTTTACTTACTCACAAGTCCATTTTAACATTTTCTTTGACCAACTAACGGAATAGATGTACTACAGTTGTTATTAACAAACATGTTTTAGTGTAATTTATTCGATAAGGATCAAATTACAGGCTCATCACTCTGCAGATCAGGAGGAAATCTCACAATTTATATTTTAATGAAATTATTAGTAAAATCATCGTTTCAATTCTTGACATTGTCTTATAAACAGTTAACTGTCTGCATAATTTACTTGTTTTCAAATACTACTTAGTGTTCTTTATAGCAGGATAATTTGTTAAAAAATAAGAACAATGATTTTTTAATCACATTTTGAGGTAAATTATTGTTTATTATGAGCATTTGGATTAAATTTGTAAGAGTGATAATTCTATAATAATATCACAGCTTTTAATATAAATTATTTAATAATACTTTATTTTAGGAATTAAAGTTGTGTTTCACCGGTGTTTCGATTATTATTTGATAATGGCCTAGAATATACAAATGTATATTTTCTAGCACATTGATGACACATTCCATGCCTAGAAAAACCCAAGAGTTAATTATTTGTCGTCATATTTAAAAGAATGTTTATAAAATTTACCTTGCTAGTAACATAACAATGTCCTTTCTGTATTGTCTTGTTAGGATAGCATAAAGAAAAGGGTTGGCACATGAGTTAAGGGGGTAAAAGAATACTAATAAGATTTTTGATTGTGTAACACTTATTAACGGAAAGCCGGCGACTGCTGTGACAGAGAAAAAAGCTATTGGAGCCCAACATATGAAATTAGTTCCAACCAGTATTGTAATTTTTTTTGCAATTGATCCCTCTCCTCGAGTTCTCGTCTCATAGTTCAAAGACAAATAAATTTGTATATAACAAAAGCACATCAATCCGAATCCAAATGCTGCCATCGATAGTAACACAATTACATATGCTAATGAAAACTTGTCACCAATTTCCATTGGAAGGCAAATACTGAAAAAAATCAATCAAAATTAAATTGTCAAAGTGGTAATGGCTATTGTTGGTCTGTGAGTCAGTAAACATGTTCAACTGATCGACACTTGATCATTCTACCAGGTCTATTCTTGTGTGTTTTAAAATTCTCTCAGGATTTCTTCACTGAAGACGACAAAGCCAAAATGTGTATGAGTGACCTCTAAACTTTCCAGAGTAGACAGACCTAGTTTAATCAAGTGTCGATTAGTAATAATAAGAATAATAAATGATTGTCAACTATAATAGGAACTCACCTTGTATTAGAGTAACTGCTAACACCGCAAAGTGGTAATATTGCCATAGTCAAGGAGTAAATCCAACCTGAAGCCATTATCTTAAATGCTAATTTAATGTCAATGATATTACTATAAAGAGCATGCCTTATTGCAAACCATCTTTCAATAGTCAAAACGCAAAGTGTAAACAGTGATAACTGACTGGCAAACACAGTTAAAAACCCAGCGATTCTGCAACCGTAGCCTAAACAAAAAAAAATTGCCATACACACACGTATATATGCATATAAATAAATAAATATATATATATATATGTGTGTGTGTGGTGTGTGTGTGTGTGTGTGTGTGTGTGTGTGTGTGTGTGTGTGNGTTTATATAATTATATATATTACAGTTATATATAATTTATAATCATTTTATTCTCACCTTCTTGCCACATGTATGCAAAATTGAAATATGTCTCAGTAGAAATGAGATCCATTATTGCTAGAAGTAGCAAGTAAAATGCCATACAGAGATCTGCAAATGCCAAGTTGCCCATAAGAAGTCGAGGCACATTTTTTTCACTTCGAATAAATATGTGCACAGCTAAAACTGCAACATTCCCAAAAATTGCAGACGATAAGACTATCCAGACACTTATTCTTAACCATGCCCAACTCATCATATCTTCACATGGGTTTAGGGCATTAGGCTGAGGCCGACAGTCAACTGGTTTCCTTAAAGCATTAAAAGTAAAATATAATCTTGATATTGATAGAAACTTAAGAGGAGAACAACTGATGATAGAAAATGACAAATATAACAAATATATTTTTTCTGATATGATAACAAATTTCAAAAACAGAACTTCAATAAAGTATACTACTTACACTTTACAAACCAACCTTTACGATTCTTCTAGAAATATTTTTATTTGCAAAACAAACCTGTTTCCTCCAAAAATTGGAACAGGGTACCCAAATATTCGATGCCATGCTACAGAAGAATTTTCATATATGATTGCATTCCCATGTGCTCTCTATATGGAACCAAAAAATTGCACCCTCCAGACATATATATCTGGGCACCCAGACCGCAACCACCATTGTTCATGTTATCTCTCCAACAAGAGCACAACAAGAGAGTTGGCGGGGATCTGTCGTGGACAGCAGTAATTGTGCTGAGAGAGTCGGTGCAGTCAAGATAAGCAGAGCCACCATTGTCTCGAATCACCTCAAGCATATGCGAAATCACATATTCAGATTCACGTATTCAGCTGTGAAAACACTGCAGTGCGGTGGGACCATAAAGCTGATGCACGTCACACCCTGACTGATCTTAGGCTCGTCTGTGAAGATGAGGCAAAAACCGGTGTACCTTGATCTAAGTTCTAAGATCTTACTCAGTAAAGGTATGGCAGAATAGACGACTTGGCTAACATGGCAAAATGGTCCCAGATGAGTACAGCCGGAAGGACCCAGGAGATGCCCAGTTCAAATAATGTTTCCAGTGTCATCTCTGCCCTCCCTAAGGCTTCGAGGAAGTATATTCACAGGATCACATCCTGGTCCGAAATCACTCATTTATTAGGCTGTACTGACATCTAAAAATCGCACCTGAAAGCAGTTGTCCCCCCACTTCTCCTACAACTATTTATGTATTAATAGTGAACCATACAGTTGTATATCAACAATTACCTAAAGTTCTTTTTTATTATGTGGTAAGGTGCTCTCTCTCCAAATTTCAGATGCAGCACTCCCAACTCACAGGCAGGCCAAAGGACTTGTTCTGAACACCTGCACACCTCTCGAAAACCTTCATAATAGATTCTATTGAGCTTCTGCAGGTGCATTTCTCAGGCTGCAGAATAGGCTATGCAATCATTAAACAAGGTCGAGTCGAACATTGTCAGGAGGGTCTCGCTCCCTGTCCACTCTTCACCTGAATTGACCGATGAACTTTAATAATGTTATCACTCTTTTGCCTTCAGTGTCAATGTTTGGCTGCCATCTTAATTTTTGATCAAACATGAGGCCGAGGAACCTAGCCAACTCTACGTACCTTAGCGTGGTGCCTCTCAGGCAGAGATGTGGAGGGCTGTGGGCCTTCCTCAAACTGCAAACTTGGACACACTTGGTTTTCAATGCGGAGAAGGTAAATCGGTTCCTCGGCTCTTCCAGCCACAACATTTATATACCATATGAACATCAAAAAAATTACATTTATATCTAGTGATATTAAAAATTTAGCTGTTTTATTATGTTTATTTTGTTGAAGGTTTAACAAGATGCTTCAGACATGTTAAAAATGTTTTAAACTGAATGCATTATAATAAAATCTCTGGTTGAAACAAGATTTAAAAAAATTCTTGTTATGATATGTGTGAAAAATAAAACTAATTTCAATCGTACATGAAGTAAAAGAATTTAGAAAGTACCTTCTTGTTATTTTCCCACATAGCTCATAATTTTTTCCATAGCTGATTGAGGCAGAAATTTGGTGAAAAATTCCATGATGTACCTTTTTTTCAACTTCTCCTACAACTATTTATGTATTAATAGTGAACCATACAGTTGTATATCAACAATTACCTAAAGTTCTTTTTTATTATTGCTATAAACTGATTTTAATACTTTCTTATTCCAAGATAGAATTTATTAAACGTTGTTATACCCATTGAGGCTACTTTTATCAAAGTTTAATTACTTTTTAAAACAAGAATATCAATTGTTTAATGAAAACAACACTAGTTTTCTTAACAGTAATTAGAAACTATTTTTGTATAGTTTATTATTGATATATTACTTTAGAACTTTTTTATATTCAATTTAAACAATTTAAATGCAATTAATTGTTACATAGTTACAAGCCTTATCTAAAACTATCAAGTTACCATCCACATTAGATGGATTGATCAAATTTGATGAATTATGAAAAGCAGGTACTATTTCTCCAAATCCTTCTTCCATATCTCTTTCATTTCTCCTTGAGACAGATTTACAAAATCTATTTAATTGTTCAATGTACACCTATAAAAAGAGAGGCACCTAAAATATAAAATGTCATTATGAAAAATTAGGATTTAATTATTTCATCTAGTTTACCTTGTTAAATGTGACTAAAAGACTTAAGTTAACTAGTTAAATAATTTTTAACTAAATATAAATGGTATATTTTGAGAGAATGTATGATTCAATCGAGGGAAAAACGAGAGTTTAAATCAAGGTAAGTTGTAAAGAATGATTTTACAGCTTCTGTGAGCATTGATTTCTGGAACAACAAATGAAATCTTAAATACATAAAGATATTAAAACTTACTTTGTGCCTTTTGGGGTTGTGCTTCGCTGGATATTGGAATGCACAGCAGTGAAATGAATATGTTAACAATGCTTTTTTTAGATTCTAAAATTTAATAGTTAACTATTATTCATTATCTAAATAAAGTAATCAATCATGGTAATATGCAGGCAGAAAGTTTTTTGACTAACTTTGAGATCATATATTGATGGAATTGTACGCAGTGTCTTGGTATTTTCCAAGTTAAGTATTTCAAGTTCTTCAAGGCCAAGCACTGGTAAATATGATAATGAAGTATCTGACAGGTCACTGAAAGAACATATGAATAATTAAAAAGGGATGAATGTAGCACAGTGGTAAATAAAATGTAGTGTTATTATTTATTTTATGTGACAATTAATAACTTTTTACACAGGACACACAATTGGATCGAGCTTTGACACAATTAACTTTTTTTTGCACATTAAACGTTAGTTTGAGCAAAAATTTCTATTACGATGGTGATAGTGGCCAAAGTAGTTTCTGTCTTACATGTCCAAATAACCGTTAGGAGTTGTGGATGAGGGGTCAGACTACTTTACAATCCTTTTACTTATTATTACTAATTCAATTTCATGTAGTGCCAGGATTCGAACCCAGAACTGCTAACATGGCAAATACAAGTCAGACGACTGCAGTACCCTTAGAATTATTATCATTGTATTTTCTCTTAATATGGATAGATTGATTATTTAATATAAAATATAAACTTCGGGAAAAGGAAAAAATGTATATAACAATTTTTTTTAAGTGACTGGTTAAGTTGAATTTTTGCTATACGAGAAATGCATATTCCAATAAATCTTTAGGCATGAGAGATGGTGTATAATTGATAAAGACATGGAGGATACCTTCTTATAAGAAAAAGAAGGAAAAGGGAAAAAATTATTACAGAAATTGAATTTTGTAGCAAAGGTCTAAACTTTAAATCACAATGCTGAAAAATAGTGTTTTTCAGTTTATTCAGTTTTACCCCGAGGGTGCAGAATTTCACTCAAGGGGTGTTTCCTTCTTTTGTATTGATGGCAACTTGCATTCTACATAATATTGATGTTAAAGGTTGTAGATAGACATGCAAAATGTTTTATTTCCCACTAGCCAAACAATTTTTTTTTAAACTTTCTTTGGGTTTTGCACTCGCACACCATTCCAATTTTTGAATAGAAGCCCCTTGGGGTACTGCGGTAGCCGAGTGGTTAGTGTGGCTCTTGGCTTGTAGAACCTGAGGTCATGGGTTCGATTCCCACCATTGCCTCTGGCCTTTTTTTCATGCACAACTACCCCTAAAAAAGTTTTCCCCTCTCGCTAAAATGCAAGATAAGACCTAAAGGCATTTGGCATTTCTCTATCTTCTGTGCCAGAATGATTGGTAACATCAAAATTACAGATTATTACAATCCAATAATTAAAACAGTGCGAGTTGGTTTATCTGTGTTTCATTTGTTTCAACTTTTAAATACAATTGTAATAATACAATTTCATATTATATTCCAAATCGGTTATTCCCATGAGAAATTAAAATAGTGAAGGTGGCTTGTGTGGTCGCCATTCAGTGTACATCAAACAGGCTTAATGAAAATTGGATATAAATGTTCAGGTCGGCATTGATGTCAACAGTTTGATTGATATGGATAACTTACATCTCTCTTAAACTTTTAAGTCCTTGAAACGCACTAACAGCAATGTCACTCAATTCTTTATTCCCTTTCAAACTTCTGAAAAAATACAAAAACAATTTTTCAAAAGTTTTATTTCATTTAACAGACTTCATATTAATGTCTGAAATATAGCTTTTATTCAATATTTAACAATTAAAAAAAAAGCTTCTTACTTATTCTACAAACTTATCTTTGTCTAGAAGAAGTTATTAAGCTTTCATTAATTTTAAATTCCATTGTAAAAGTTTCAAAATATGTACTTTTAAATGTAGAAGAAAGTGATAATTACAGTTTTGATATTTCAGAACCATTAAAGGCCCATCCTTCAATCGTTGTAATAGCATTGTAGTTCAAAAACCTTTAAAATAAATGTACACAATAGTATATCTAACTTTTCATCTATTACTAATTTAATTAAATTGGAAAAAAAAAAAAAAAAAAAAAAAAAAAAAAACAGGTTCTCACATATCATCTGTTCGTACTCTGACATTATTAGTCCTTATAATCCTTATTTTATTGTTTTCAAAATCTCTGAAAATGTTTAAAAATTATTTTATTATCCAAGGAGTTAATAATAATTTGATAAAATAGCTCACATTCTATGCATTGGAATGTGTACACCAAGTCCACTCATTTTAGGTAATTTTGATAGTGGTGTCTGAATAACAGTGCTGAAAAAAAGTCATTGCAGGAAGTTTTTGCATAAATATTTATTAAAAATTATAAACTTGCATGTCAGACTTACAGAAAGTTCAATTGTTGAAAATCTTGCAATACACCATCATCGATTGTAACTAATCTTCTCATCCTCGTGATAGACCTTTAAAGTGATACAACAAAATGACTTTATTTTTAACATTAGTTTCAAAATATGGGGCTATGAATAACTATGTCATTTTAGCCCCCTAATCAGTTTTTAACCTGAACACACACTCGCTATTTAAAAATGTGGACTGGGATGGGGATATGTGTTGGAAAAATGTCTTATCGTTGAAAGAACTCGCATGTTAAAAATAAACAAATAAAATGTCAAGCTTGCATGCAAATAAACTTAATTAATAAAATTAACTTAAGCGATGGAGATGGGTTGGTGAAGAATGATGTCGGCTATGGTCCAAGGTAATACGCTGATGCAAAATGAAAATGGGTTGGTGAAAAACGACACTGTCTGCGATGACCCAAGATGACAACAATAAGATGACTCAAATTTACAGATGAAGTCGAACAGCAACAACCACATGATGTCAAGATATGTCGTGTAGCATTGTCAGTCCTTCTGACAGTTGTCCCTGGAGGTGAGAAATCGACGACGGATGATACAAAATGGATAGGTTAAAGGGCATGAAGCAGTGCCTCGTCATCAAGGTTGTATGAGGACTGACCATCAATCAAGGCCAAGGATCCACGATAAACAGATAATCCATAGGGTGTTTACCTTTTTTAATCCTTGGTGGGTCGGCGTATATGAACGATAAATTAAGACAAACTAAACATTTATCACCTGATGCAAGTGCAATTAATTAATACCATAAAAGTAATGAAGGAGAAAGAGACCAAATAAAGAAAAAGAGATAGATAAAAAGTTAAGAGAGTTTACATGGAAAATGTCACCTTAATAAACTCTCTGCCAAGAAAATGTCAGGAAAATAAAAAATATGGGTATTACTAATAAAAGAATAATAATATAATAATAATAAGAATTGGACAGGCAGGTGGCACAAATGGCACCTGCCTCAATGGTAGCAAAGTTCCAACTTTTTTGGGATTGTAAGGACCTGTCAGGCACTGTAGAAAAGAACAAAATCTCCATTGCTTGGTTACCAGAGCCGAGAGGCAACGAGGTGTCCAATATATATTAGTCACGGAAAATTCAGTCAGGACATCTATCACTTTTGTGGCATACCAAAATGCCAAACAATTCATCAGACAGTAGGTTAAAAATAAATCCTTGATCCAATGGGAAGGTATAACAGGATAAATGCAAGCAAAGTTCATTAAAGAAACTAAAGACAGAACTATTTTATAATCTTAGGATGTATTAGGACTAGAATGGTAGGACTGTTCACTGGACACTGCAGACTCTAGAGGTATATGTATAAATTTAGGGCAGCAGATATTGATAAGAAAAATAAGAAATAGCAGAACATGTCCTCCTCACTGGCTGTAAGTAGCTGCTTTCCTTTCCGTTTCAACGAGTGAATTGATATACTCACTTCACCTCAATTATATCTATTATTTCTATGAACCTGTCCTCTATTAGTGTGAAGGCCTGGTTTTATTTTTGTTAAGAATAAATTTTTTTTAAACAATTATTTATAATAATATAATACTATAGATGAATGATAAAAAAGCAATATTTGTGTACATTTGTTAGATACTTACAATTCAGACAATGTAGCTTTATAATGCTCCAATGAATTAGCATGTATGGAAGTAATATTAGCATTTATAAATGACCTGTAAATAAGATATTAATGAATGATATAAAAAATATTTAAAACAGTGAAATTTGAAATTTATGACGGCTATATTTAAGTTTCAAAATGAGTCATTATTGATGGAAATAATGAAAAATATAAGAAATTGATTTTGAATTCATAATATTTTTTTTCTTTTCTACTACTGTCTCATCAGTTACCTTCATATAATACTCACAAAGAATGTAAGCGACCAGCATATAAGAATGTTGGAAATGTATCTATTCCTCCTTCACAAAGACACCTATTTTTTCCATCATGAATACATGTACATTCGTTGTGTATAGATCCATAAATTCCAGCTAGCAACAGAGACAGTGTAATTATCAAACCTGTAAACATAAAAAATAATAATAATTAAAAAAATTAAATTAAAGAGGGAAAAAGTTGGTTATGGCGAAATTAGTGAAATTGTGCTATGTGAAGTTCAAAAAAGATAGAAAAAGCCAGTAGAAAAATCTTATAGAATCTGGTTAACTAGAACTGTCTGAAATGTAATATGTAGAGCATGGATTTATATGCAATAAAAATTCTCAAATATAGCACATAATATGCACCAATAAAACCTCAAATATACAATGTTATATACACTAAAACCCCCCCTCAAATATACCATATAATGTGAAGGAAAAGTAACCCTTGACTAATAATTATTTTTTTCTTAGCCTAGACATATATTTTTGCTTTAGTCAAGTGAATTTTGAATGAAAATAGGGCAGAAAAATTTCACTCACACAAAAAATTGTACAATTTAAAATATAGAAAATAAATGATTAAGCATAATTAAGGTCATGATATGAATTAAAATTGACAATAAGATAAATTTCAAAGTTCGTTTATGTAATACTCAGCACCCATCGCTCAACAAATATTTGTAGTTTGAAAAAGACTTTTCGATGTTGCCAAATGTCGCCTCCTACCCTAATCTAAATTTAATCTTAATAATTGTAGGAACTTAAAATTACTAGATCGTTGATCCCCCCCCCCCGGTTAATGCTTTCTTTTGAACCTTATAAAATGCATTTTTGCTTACAATTAAAGTTATGGTTTGGAAAAGTTTCAAAAGTTTTATGTTCTACTACCACTATGTTTTTTCTCCTGCACGAGAGCCTGGGAGATGTAGGAATAGAGAGCAAACTGTCTCTTTTCTCGCAGGGCACATAGAACAATGGGATCAGATCCCTTCTGTAAAATTACAAGTTGCCATTAAGAAAGTAGCAATTGCCATCAATGGATCATGTTGAAAATTCATACCTGTTGAGACAACATCCCTGGAAAGATACAGGCCAAAGACTTTGTTAAGAAAACTAACTTTTAAAAATTAAAGCCTTCCTGCAACAAGGTTGAATAAAATTCAGAATCATTGTAGGTCTGCTCACTGGACATTGCCAACTCAATAGGCACTTAAAAATTTTGAGAGTGACTAGAATGATTTCATGAGAAATAAATCAGTTTCTTCTAATTTAGTAATCTTTCAAAACTATATTTTTGAATCTTTTCACCACCATTACTCTGTCGATGCAGACTTCACTAGTCTTTGACTGTTATCATTAATGTTCTTCTACTTAAAAGCTGACAGCGCAAAACCCAGGGAGGGCACAAGAACTGTAGTTTCAGGAATAAATCCAAGAACTGAAATGACTATAAACGTAGGCAGATATGCTATGATTTTTCAGTCAGAAATTATTGGAATTGAAGACTGTACTGGGGAAATAAAAAAGGCTTGGGATCCACTCTGAAGACCCCATACAATAGACCATTCTCGCCTACCGCGAGGCACCTTGCGTGGTGAAGAATAGATTGCCATGGTGTGATGGTAGTGGCGAGGGGTGGATGGTTAGGGATGGCTTGGGGGCGAGAGAAAGTGGGTGTTTAATTCATCAGGGGACAGGGTAGGAAGAGGGTGAGTTGGGTGTGCGACATATGCCAAGGTTCCGAAGGAGCTTCCATTTTGCTCTAGCATCAGGAGTGGTGGAGAGAGCCTCTTGAAGGTAAGTAATGAAGGGCTTTGGCATGACGGATATAGGATTAGGTTTTATTGCGAAGGACTCGTCTTCAGGAAGTTTGGTGCGACAAAAGCGCCTTCCCGGCTTTTAATTAGGGCTCTAATTTCGTCGTTTAACCAGGGTGCTGGTTAACGTATAGTGTCATGTCACAAACAAGGGGGCATGTTTGTTAAGAGTATTGAGGAGACTGGAGGTTAGGAAGCCAACCATGGAATCGTGGATGAGCCAGAATAAATGTTAGCCCACTCGATTGCCTCCAGATCCGGCATCAACCCTCGAATGAAAGAGTATCAACATGATGGAACCTTATGGTTTTGGGTGCAAGACATTGGGTAGGAATATTATATGTAATTTGGATCAGGTCGTGGGAGGAGAGAAAGGAAATGGGGTGTTGGGAGGAGGTTAGAATTTTATTGACGGAATCCACAACCTTAAGATCAAGCCAAGTGGATACAGAAGCAGTGTGATGTGTGGGATTAAATGGAATACATGAGAGATGAAGGGAGAACCATAGGTTTTCAAGGAGTCTTTTGTTGTAGGAGTCAGAGGAATAATTCGCGTTGAAATCACATGTGATGATCACGTGGACTATAGAGGGGAGTAATTGTTCAGGGTGGAATGGAAGTACTTAGGGAGTGGAACCTGAGGGGGTCGGTAAACAACTACAAAAAGGAGATGGTGGGAAAAGAGGGAAAATGAAAAAATGAAATCCAAATGGGGTGACCCGAGGCAAACCTCAGAACTTCTCAACTCCCTTCCCAAAGGAAGTGTTATGCATTTTCTCAATTGACCATTGCTACTCTAGCAACATCTCTGGCAAAAAACCTCCACCAGTAATACCAACACGAAACAACAGATGGCGTGAGCGTCGGCGCATAAGGTCACCAATAGGAAAGGACCCGAAGACAGGGAAAAGTAAGAGAAAACAATACAACAGAGATTCGAAACCAGTCGGTGTGTATAGGTAGATGTATTTAGATGGATCAAGATTAACCAAGACTGTTTACCACTGTTAGCGGTTAACTTTCGGTTTAGTGGGCCATTATGTAGAGGAGGCATAAGAAGATAGTTATACTGTTGGACGGTCAGGCAATACTGAAAGCATAGCCTCATGAAAGGTAAAGCCAAAATATGTCTGGAGTTGCATGGAATCATGTCCCCTGCATTCCAGGCACTAAGGACACAGCGGTAATGAGAAGACCGACATATTAGCCAAGCAAAGCCAGTATGAAACTTTTCGGTCCTTAATTTTATAATTTGTAATTAAAAGGGACACAAGATTGTGGTGTCCACCTGCAGTTACCACGGTACCCGCTAGTTGTCACCGTTGGTTCTGGAATGTTCTCGCCCTCCACTCTTCAGCCCCGTCAGAGTAGAGCCATTTCGTAAATAAGCACTGGTTTCAGACTCTTCTCCCCGACGAGTTCCCACTTCACACCTTGAGAGTCGTTTCTCCGACGAGTTCTCCACAGTCACTAATCGACCACCGACAACGACAACAAGGGTCTCGCAGGATTAGCGTCGAACTCGTGTACTCAACAGGGCCAACTTGGCTACTGGCCAACCTTTGCTCTCGGTTACCTGCTGCACCAGAGTCCATTCAACCGCTGCAGAGTCAATCGACTCACTACCACCGGACCACTACCAATGGCACACAGACGCGCGCGCGCACACACACATGGTCCCGGTTTCGATTCATCGTTATTTTAAAATCAATTACAAAATAGAACTGGAAAGTGTAAGTGCACATTTCAATCCACATGTGGTATTGGAAGATATTTTATCATAAGGATAATAGAAACGTGTGTGGTGGTACCCAATTGTTCCAGTCGTTTCTTACATATGGCCATACATATCGACTACATATTAGATTGGCGTGGTTTGCATCCCGGGTTAAGCTAGGTTGTGAAGAGAGTCAAAAACATGTTTATGTTATCTTTATGGAATGTAGGGTTTTGGAGTATAAAAACTTTCTACCAGTCAACGGAAATTCAGTGCATATGACCGTGAATTATTAGCTGGTTTTAAAGCAATCACTCATTTCAGACATATGGTAGAAGACAAGGTGATTTCGATCTACACTGACCAGAAAACACTAATGTATTAGATGATGGGAGAAAGTTTTTTGGTGAAAAAAGTTAAGGGTTCCCACCTTAAGTTGTAGAGTTATTGTAAAGATGCACCAATAGCTAGATTGGAAGCATCTGTCATGATTGCTACTGTCTTATTTGAGTTCGGGTGTGCCAGTAGTGCTGCTTCTGCTAGGCTTTCTTTGCATTTTGTAAAAGCCTTTTGGAGTTCTGATGTCCAGTCGATAATTTGTTTACTTGAATTCGGTGGGCCTTTAAGTAGGTCGTGCAGTGGAGATTGAATGAGCGGAGCGTTTAGTATGAATCGACGATAAAAAGTAAGCAGTCCCAAAAATAGCCGTAGTTGTTTTATTGTCTTTGGGAGAGGAAAGTGATTCATTGCCTTTACGTTATTCAGGAGAGGAGTGATGTCGTCTGCTGGGACTGTGTTTTCTTAGAAAGAAACGACTGTTTGTCCAAAATGAACCTGGAAAACATTGGTAACTATCCCGTTATCGATGAGGCGTTGGAAGAGTCTTCGGAGGTGTTCTTCGTGTTGGTCTTGATTTTTGGATGCTACAACGAAATCGTCGAGGTATTGAAAACAAAAGTCGAAATCTCTTGTTATGCAGTGCATCATTCGTTGAAATGATTGTGATGCATTGCTCAAGCCATACATCATGACACACATAAAGCCCAAATAGAGTTATTATAGCTGTTTTCTCGAC